AAGACAAGAAGATTTCCCAATGAAGGACGGTGAGTAGGATAGAAAATTTATGACTACATATATTTTGATTACCCGAATTTCTGTGCTTAGAATGCGAGACCGAGTCATGTTGCAGTTCTGTGGAAAGTTTTCCTGATGAAGAACGCGTTTTGCTACGTATTAGCGAACGCTTGCGTCAGTACTTAGAGTACGATCATGATATGATCACAAAATATTGTAAGCAACATGCGTTGCCTGCACGTATTCCAGTTGTGGCAATATTAGAGAATTTCGTAAAGCATAGTGTTGTTAAAATGGTTTTCTCAACAACGCAAGTTGAGAGTACAAGACGGCGATCAACACAGCAACGAACAAATAAAAAAGAACACGAATTCGATAAACTTGTAGCTACGTAAGAATATTTAAAACACATTAATTTTTTTAACGAATAACATTTTTCCAATTACAGTGCTAGTTTACTAAAGGAAGTCGCCGATGGTTTACGCATTTACTTTGACTTTACCATAGCCGATTATTTACTATATAAAGAGGAAAAAGAATATGCTCTGTGGCATTTAAGTGAAGATAATCTCAAGAATTTTACATATGTTGCATTGCCTGGACTGTCTCCGGATTTTCTAAATCCTAACAAAAATGAGGGGGATACAACACAATTTCCGGGTGGTGATAGTTGCACAGAAACACAATTGATGGAGGCTGCATCAACGACTCCCGCTCCAACGGATGAGCCGCAAAAACGTAAATCACGTCTTCACCGTAGTGATGACTGTGAAATGATATTAGAAAATTGCTTAGAAAATTGTTTTTCAAGTATAGCCAGTACCAGTTCTGGTGCGTCCACACCATTGCACTCTGCTGTTGGTGGCGGTGGTGCGTCGTCCGGTATTAACTACTTGAAATCATTGCAACCAATGGCATTGAATATACCATCGCAAACTAAAGACTTTCTACAGACTGTTTTGTCCTGGAATTTACTGCCTACCGACGCACCTGCAGCGCCATCAATGATTTTTGGTGCTCCACATTTGGCCAGATTAATTGGTAAGTTTCTTAAATCTTTGTGTATAAGAACATACTTATAATTGATGACTTGTGTTCCAAAGTAAACGGGTATCTATCCGAGCTTTCTCGCTTCTTCACTGCAAGGAGCCTAACCCTCTCCCCTACAAAATCAGCCTGACCTCGAGGCTACCGCTGGGAATTCTCGTCGATGATACACCAATTCCGACGGTGAATAACCCCAAAATACTCGGGGTAACCTTCGATAGTCTGCTCTCTTTCTCTACGCACGCAATCGCTATTGTCAACAAAGTACAGAGTCGCAACAAGGTCCTCAAGTCGCTAGCCGGCAGTATTTGGGGGCAAATACAAAAAAACGTTGCTGGAAACATAAAAGGCGATAGGCCGGCCGGTTTTAAATTACGCAGCACTAGTGTGGTCGCTGGGGACTAGTAGGACGCAGTGGATGAAGTTACATACGACACAAAACATTGCACTTAGGATGCCTTCTGATGTCGCCAGAATACCATCTGTACGACGAGGCGAAAATGCTCCCTGTTGAGGAGCATAACACAATGCTCTGCAAGTAGTTTCTGGCCCAGGCACGTCAGGAGGCATCTCCACGAACTGACGGACGAAGTCCAGAGGTTCATTAAGCAGCCTCTGGACCCGTCAGCATATCGACAGGCCCTGAACGGCATTCACAGGGAGTCAGTCTCGAGTTATGTAAACTCCAGACTTGTGAATGCCTAGGCACACCACCACCGGACATCGACGAGACGGAGCTTCATCTGCCTCGGGAGACTAGAACTACAGTAGCTCAACTTCGCTTTGGCTACTGCACCAGGCTAAACACACACCTGAGCAGATTAGGCGCAGATGTGCCAAATGAGTGTTCGGCATGCGGAGAGACACCCCACGACTCGAAACATCCGTTCGTATGCCCAGAAAACCCGACAACACTAACTCCTATGTTCCTGTGGACCGACTCCATTGAGGCTGCACCTGGGGCTTCCGTTAGTGGAGCTTGACGACAACGACTGTAGCCGCTACAACAACAACAATAATAAAAGCTTGAACAAATAGTTGATTTACGGAGTTTTTTCGGGGATATTCGAGATTTTTTTAGCGGTATCTGGATTTTTCGGAATATTTGCGGTGCTTGTTGATATCTTTTAAGAGTTTAAAAGACTTTTTGTTTTGTATTTTTCAGAATATTTAAACATTTTTCGGGACTGATCGGAATTTTTTGGGACTTTGTAAGATTTGTCAGTGACTTTTCGTGTTTCATTTTATGAGGATTGTTAAGGATTTTTTCGAATCTTTCGAACATTTTTGCTATACTTTTCTTGTTAGCGGCTTTGCGAGTATTTTTGGGGTTTATCTAGATTTGAACGAATTCTTTAACGCTCGGTTTTCCAATTCAACGATGAAACCAAAGGCGATATCTCCGAACCTATATTAAGTACATATATTTTATGTATTTATTAAGCTTTCGGTGCTAGCATTGCACCCTCATCAGAGTTACACTAAAATAGGCAAAAAATTGAGACTAGGGCTGGATACACGAGATTATTTTCGTACTGCATGTAAGCTTATTTAAGCCATTTATTAAAGCCATTGCCTGGAAGTCGAGGAAGATTACGCATGCATGGCAAACGATTCTATGAAGGCAGAGAAATAAGAAATTTGGCGAGGTTCAAAACGCCAATAAAGTTGCTTGTACACGAGTGAGCTTTTAAAATTAAGTAACAGCGTACCTATATCGGCCTATAACCATTCTAATCTAACCTAAATTAACTACTCGGTACGGTTCTCTAACTTAAAGAGATTACACTACCCACCAATTGCGATTAGGCGAATCTATGGCAAGAGCATAAAGACGACTCTTATGATATCTACAAATCTAAAAACATCTTTCCCCTGACATTGCTTGCTAAAACAGTGCATTTTTTCCTGGATTTTCCTTTACGTTAAATTGATTATATCAGTTAAGTTTTATAGTCTATCGCTACAAAGTGATAATATGTATGTATGTATTCCATTATAATTGGCAAACGTCTTTAACTCTGATTTTTTTAATCGATGAAGCTTGGTGTTTGGCCGTATGTTTAGCTTGTAATCTTCTGCAGAGTTGCTCTGAAGTTGAACCGACAGTCGGGTCTACGTAACCGGAACGACCCAGATTTATATCTGGCCAAGGACGTGTCACTCCAGCAACACTCTCCAAAAACTCTTTGGGGAATTGGTATGCTGTTACAACAACAACAACAACCACCGGCAACAATGTGATCGTTAGGAACTCAGCCATACATCACTTGGGTTTTTTT